CAATCCCTAACTTTCTGTGATTCTGTGATTTTGTTATCAGAAATTATTAAATCTAAACAGCAAGTTAATTTTTAAGAAACTAAGGATAAATAATTTAATTTCTTATAGTTTCTACTGGAGAATTAGACTTACCATGTTCACTAGCAGCAACCTGTCTGTCAAAGAGGAAGAGGGATTAAAGTTTATGTCTTAGTTTTATGCCGATGCTCATTTGGTCTCAATACAGTGGAACCATGAGCTCTTAAGCATGCTGATAGCTAGCTCTGCTCTGTAGCAGCTAATATCCACTCAGGACACAGGGCCTCTGCTTACTGGTCCTTTTGGGTAGACAGGGCTTGCCATACACAAGGCACTGCCCCAAGACTGCTGACTGCTTTCAGCGCACTCTCTTGTAACCACATGGGTCATACAGTGCTGCAGACTACACCTGACAACTTCAGCTTCTAAAGCCTGTTACCACTAAGGAAGCTAGTGGCAATTGTGCACATAGATGGAAACTAATACATTTTGTCACATCTTTCACCCCCCATTCTGCCAAAGGCTTAAAGTCAGTCCTATCTGACATATCAAAGCGCTTCTTCAGTCTCTAGCTTCTCTTCTGAGTGCCTTCTTTCTCTCCTAAGTTAGTGCAGAGACAGGACAGTCTAGGCTGGCAGGAATCTCTGGAGTTTATCTGCTCCGACCTTCTTGTTGAAAGCAGGTCCGAGGTTAGGTTATCCAGTGCCCAGCCGAGGCGAGTCAAGTATTTCCAATGACGGAGGTGCCACCCTCCTTCAATCTCTTTGTGTTTAATTGCACTCCAGAGCATTTTTCTTATATTCAGATGGCTACTGTCCTGTCACTGTGCATCCCCCATCTTCTCTGTAACTACCTCTGGGTATTGTAAGACTGATTAGATTTCCCTGAGTCATCTCTTCTCTGGGCTAAGCAAACCAAATTCCTCCAACCCTCAGATGATCATGGTGCCACCCTCACAAGACCTCTTGTTTTTCAATGTCTCTCTTGAAGTGACTTGACAAAACTGGGACACAGTATTCCCGATGTGGCCTAGCAACTACCAAGAAAGTGGGGTAACTATACCTTTGATTTGCTGGCTGTACTACACTTTTGCCTTCACTGATGCATGGCACCATTCAGCATGGCCAGGGCATAATGCTGGCTCCAGGTGCTTTTTCTCTGAAAGCAGACTGTCTCTCTCTTGGAACATGGTGCTAGACTAAGGGAGTAAGCAGTGCTACTTCAGAGTAAATGTAATTTATTTCAATTTTTTTTTACCAAAATAGAGGCATAGTATTTCCAGCCTAGATTTTTTTTTCTTCCCCTGCCTTCTTTTGATTAAAGAAAAATTAAAGTAAGAATAGTTTCAGTTTTCTGCTCAGAGAATGCTGCAATTCAATGTTTCAACAAAGTATTTTATTATAGAATCTTTTTTAACAACTAATCTAGCATTTCCCCAAAAAAATATAGATTTTGAAAAGAAAATATACATTTTACAGGAGTAACTGTTAAAGAATTTTAACATGATTTCTTGTAATCTTTTTAAGCATATGGATGGGCTCAGTGAAGATAATGAGATAATTTATACATACATAATCTTTGATGGTGAAAAGTCCATCAAAACCTTAGATTTTTTGGCCCTCCCACTTCCTCTTGCAGTCAGGTGTCCCAGGAATATATAGATTAAACAAAAAAGCCCTACCATGGCATCCAGAAGCTCTTCACTGTCATGTTTGCTACCTGTTCACGTTTGCAGTTTGTAAATGTTGGATGCTGTCCAACAAGGCACAAGTCGGCAGAATCACTGACAGACAACATGTCCACCGTACTTAAAAGGTAGTGCTTTCCATAGACTCATCCATTTCAGCTTTGCAAAAAAGGCTGCATTTGTTTTAGAGCCATTAGTAAAAAAGGAGTAATGGTAGCTGTTTATATACTAGGAAATACTCAAATTACAAAAGTAATTTCAAATTTTGCTGAGAATTCCCTTTAGTTAGATAAAGAAAAACCTTGAAAAGGTCTAAAGTTGAAACCAGCAGTGTTTCTGCATTCCCAGATCCAAGAGTGGACGGTACATCCTGACTCTGCATCCATGTTCCAGGCATGCAGCTCTTGCTTGCCAACTGTCACAGAATCAGACTTGTACACCCAGGCTACAGGAGGCCCATGCATGTGAAGTGAGAATGTCACCTTATGTCCCAACAGAGTTACAGATACAGTAAACAGAATTGCCACACAGCTCCCTTCTTTTAAAAAGCTTCCCTTTATTCTTTACAGTTTACTAATCCTTGAAATTAAAATACAGGTACATTCGCTGTACAGGTGCATTTATGCATCCTCACTCTTACAGTCTTCAGAATATCAAACTTTCAATACATTAATTATAAAAAATTAATAGCCTTCTTCCTCTGTTCTGAGGATGGTCCTTATTCCTCTAAGCTGAAGGATATTGGCCTGTTAAAATACCAGTTATTCATCCAACAATTATCTAATGTCAAATTCTGTCATCCTTACGCAGCAAGCGATGCTTTCAGTTGTGACATTCCCATTGATTTCATGAGACACGGTAGTAAATCTGAGTGAAAATAGTGTAAGTTAAGGAAGATTATTTTCTAGATGATATTTAGTTGAAAGGTTAAGTGAAATCCCAGTTGTATCAATGCACAATGAAGTTTCCCATTTCATTCCCTGTGACCAGGTTGGTTCAGCATGAGCAATATTAAGCATCTTTATGAAATAATTCATAAGCAACATCCTCGTGTGCTCTAAGGCATCTTCACCTGACCCATTATTCTTGTCAGTCAAAATATTCTAAGCCATTCTGGTCTTCCCTTCATTTACCTTTGATAAACTTGAAATATTTTTGACCAAACTAATAGTGAAATAATTCTGTTGAATCACTTATTTCACGGTCAGCTTGAGACATCTGAAAGAGCAGTATAATTTAATAAAATTGCCACAAAATAGACACTACTGTTGTGCACTCACTAGTCAAAAATATTTACGTAATGTCATGAAAAGTTTAGAATTCAGATAAGTATCTTCAGAAACTTGACTGCTACTGAATTCTTTCAGATAAAGCTTCATAAAGTGGTGTAAAAAAGCACTTTAACAGTTGGCTTCCCAATGCCTTTAACTACAGTTCTGTGTACTTGCAGAAAAAAAAAATCAAAATTAAAATTAAAATAGACTTTAGGTTCTGAAAATATAAATAATCCAAATAAAAGGCTTTTAATTTTTCACTAAGTGGCTGATTAGCCACAGATACTCATAGATTTTTACTATTCTTACTGTTGGTATACACACAGATGGATCTATGCCACTCTAGTAATAAATACCTATTTTGACAATCTACAACAGAATCTGAAGTATTTCTAGACCGATTAGCCAGTATTTCAACTCATGATGAACAGAGACATGCTTGTCTTTCATAGGGAGTCTTGCATAAGCCATGCTGTAAGAACTCAGACGTGGTCAGCATAAAGAATTCTTTAGGACCCTTGAGATATAGGGACACAGCTAGAACTCTTAGTCCCTTCCTACCCTCTTCTTACTCCTCAGAATCTTGAATTTTTTGAAGAGCAATGTCAGCTAAACCACTTTCCCTTTCCCGTGGGCTCTCAGTATGCAGGGCTAGCGCCTCCATCTCTTTGGTAAACTCAGGTTCTTCCATTCGGTCAGTAGCATGATTTGGATCCACTTCTTTGGTAGCATCTGGACCAGGATCTGACTGTTCTTCACCTGTAGAACCCTCTACTAGTTGCACTTCATCTAAACAAAAGAGAAACTGCATCATCATCTGCTAGCATTTTTATTATTGAAGAGTAATAAACACCAGGAAACTCTGCATCAGTCACAAGTGTGACTTTATTGTGAGGGTGACAGAGCACTGGAACAGGCTGCCCAGAGAGGCTGTGAAATCTCCTTCTCCGGAGACATTCAAAACCCACCTGGACGTGTTCCTGTGTGATCTTCTCTGGGTGATCCTGCTCTGGTGGAGGGGTTGGACTGGATGATCTTCAGAGGTCCCTTTCAACTCCTAACATTCTGTGGTTCTGGGATTAATTTAACCAAGCTTAATCAAAAAAGACTAAAGACTCTAGAGTTCTGATTAAGTTGCTTAAGTTGTAAGATTACTCTGAAACTAACTCTACATACTGCTATCATTAATTCATCTTCAGTTTTGCCATACTTCTTTTTAATATGTAGAGGAGCAGAGTAGAACACTACAATTAGTTTAACTTTCAATTAAAACATGCTTTATTGACACTATTCTTACAATTAGCTTTTCAATGCCTGTGGGCTGGTTAAATGTAGTGTACAGGTGGGTTTTGTTCTGTTTTGTTTCAAAAACAGTATGTAGGTGATTACATAGGAAGCACTTTTGCATGTAACACACTGAAAAAAATTATTCTGTAATGAGCAGTTGGCCACAATGAACTTTGGTTGAAGTGAGTCACCCTAGAATTTATAAGATGATGGCACGGAACAGAATCAGCTATTGCACCATAACTTTTCAAGCAATGTTTTTGGAGAAGAAAAATGTTAAATAACATTTTTGCTCTGATTCTGCTACGTAGGGGTTATGTGCTATCAATTCTGAAAAGAAAGAGGGGAAAACCTAGCTGGGGGACCTTGGCACCTTCCAAAGTAGTTCATTTTGGTTTCTTCCTCTCTGTTATGACTGACAGCCAGCTAAAAACAGTCACAGCCAGCCATAACACTGCCAAAGCCCTGCCATGGCCTCATTTGGGCACAGAACTGTCTTAGGCACAGATTGAAGCATAGACTTCCTTAACAGTCACCCTTCTATACTGAAAACTCTTAAAACTCTTGGTTTTGCTTGTAGTTGCAGCTGTGGGATTTCCACACCATAACCCCATGATGTGTAGGATTTATAGGGGGGTATGATTAGCTTTTTGAAATAAAACTACTGTTGATATGAAGAGCTTTGATGCACTACCATTCACAGGGCGACTTGAAGCTAGGATGAATTCACTGTCTTGCTAACAATGCATAATCTGGTAAAGTCTATAGTGTATTGGCCACGTACCTGAAGAAGTTGGTGAAGATTAACAGGTAGGTTAGTAACACATAGTAACGTGTCAAAAAAAGGTTAGCTTCCTTTTTTAGGACAGGAGGGAGAAGAGCCATCCACCCAGATCCTGTCTCTCCTTCTGGCACCTGGCCACTGACTTGTTCAGTTAATATGAACCTGCAAGTTTGTGTATGTGGGTACCACACTGCTCACAGCTCATTGTTTTGCTGTACTGATATGCAATATACTCAGGGATTTCTAATATCCTTGCCTCCAACTTCCACAGTCATCATGATCTCATGCAACAGCAACTCTTGTTGTAACATGAACAGTTTAAAGAGTAATGCATGCTTTCTTCACATTCAAAATACCCAAGTAACCCGGTACTGTGATTATGAAGAAGGAAGTGTTACAGGAGAGTAAACATCGACATTGATTTTTGCAACTAGATTGAATGGGCTGATCCAACTTGTCCTAAAGACAAGAAGAAGTAGAGTAGCATCTAACTTCTGTATGATTTAAAGATTTGGATTTTGAAACAGTGCAGTGTAATCCAAAATGCTTTAGTTGTAGCAACCTGGGTAACTCTAGCATTAAAACCCAGATTTTAGAAAGTACTTAACATTTGTAAATTGAAAGACTAGAATTTCAACAAATGCAGGTATGCTGTTGTTACAACAAAGATTTTTCTTTCTGCCTCAGCTGTTATGTATTTTAAGACCTGTTACTATTGTTCCTTGTGGTGCAGTTAATGCAGAATTAGTTTCAGCAAGAAAATGATAGATTCTAACCTTTTTTTTGCTTGCTTTCTTGTTTCCTTTTTTCTTTGGCAGCTTCTAGTTCTTGTTTCTCATGAATTTCCTTCAAGGTCTTGCAGACTTTCTTGTGGGTAAACCAGTGTATTTTCTGGCAGTTCTGGTCACAGTACATCACCTGAAAGTTACCAGAGCTCTCAATTCATCTTTATGTACTAAAAAAATATACAATATTCTTGTATTTCATAGAGTACCAAGTTAAATCTCTCTCTGTGTATTACTTAATGGTATTTTACAGCAATTTGTAAGGTCATATGGAGTGACTGTAACCTATATAAAACTCTAGAAATAATAGTTTGTTTTGTTAGCTCTGAACATACAGAAATTTTACTCTTCCTTAATTCTTAAACATACACACTTGAAAATTCAAGTCCTCCTCCTTGTGAATTTCAGGCATCTCTCCCAGAAGTAGATGGCTTGAACATTTTCAGTGTAGGCATACATGCCATTCTTCATAAATCTACACAGTAAATAGTCAAGCATTCAAAATCCTCAGTACCTCAGTGGCGCTGTTTTTTGTGATTCATTCTAACTATTTATGAATTCTTACCATTTTACATACTGAACATCTTTTGTCCGCGCCCTTTCCCCCACAAGTCGTACAGAATTCAGCATCCACAAAACCCACTTGGCCAGTAATAGCTTGTGTAAGTACAGAAAAAGCTGTAGGATCCGAACCCTGAAAGGTAGGACCAGAGGTGGTGATGAGATGAAAAACCAACACTGTCATAAGGAGCGATATGCAGGAGAGTAACAAACCAAGCAATGCAAGCTTCAGTGCGGCCCGCTGCAGTCTGACAATGCCATAGCAGCAAGAACATGAAACTAAATCACAGAACTTCAGCTAACGCGCACAACCTAACATTTATACAGTTCAATTTTTATATATAAAGCTAACCTTATATACAAAGGGAAAAATAAAAATTATCATTTTTTACTCTGTAAATTATTACTACTACTATTAATGAAGTCAGTGTTCTTTACACGCTGTCATCCCCTTGTGGATCATATGCAGCAGATTTTTGCAGATTAGTCTCTATGCTGGCACACAGAAGGATATTTTGCTTGTCACTGAAATACTGTTGTGCTCAGTGTACTCAGATACTCAGACCAAATGCTCAGAACTTAAAATCTTCAAAAGAATTATTTCCATATTATTATTTAGATATTATTTGCTGCATCTTTCCCGTGCAATACAAGCCGTAAGATTGAGTGTATTTTACTGGTAACCATAAATTACAACTATTCTTTTGGGCAATAATGTAAACATTAGAGGAAAAAAATGTCAGAATGCCCCAGCTCTAAGTAAATCCTTAAACTCTTAGATTACCATGGAACATGCATGATCATAACTACTACGACAATGCTGAGATGCTCAGACTAAATCCAAGTAATAACTGCGCATGCCATAGGTCAAGGCCTTCCAGACAACTAAAAACTGATAGCATCTCCTCCTTCCCAGTTCTGCACAAAGGACAGAAATCCTCCTGTATTTCTTTAGAGGGAGAAGGCAGAAAAGACTGCAAGCTGTTTTAAGAAAAAAGGGACAGGAAAGAAAATATTTACTCTAAAGTGAGTCTTAATGCATCACGATGGCTTATGTTTTCACACTGTATTTTTCTGGCTTAGACAAACAGTGGGGATTGCATTAAGCCTCAGGACATTTTAGTAGGCTGGAGCCACTTAAGATGGAGACTATTTTTAATTCACTCAGCATAATCCAAACACAAAATCGTTCCACTTCCCCAGTGCTACTGCATATAACATGGAGCTCTCAGGGACCAGAGAGAACATTCGTAAAAAAATGAATAACACCACCTGTGTAAGATTTATTACGAACTAACAGGACTGTAATGAAGAGTATGTTAGCAAAGATGTATGAGGAAAACTGAAGTTAAATTTTTTACTTGTAGTTTTGATTTCCTAATTTAGGTATATGTTTTACTCTATACTGCATCATCGTGCCTCTCCTTGTGATAAAAGGAACTTCACAGAATGGTTTCCCTTTTCCTACCATCATATATTACCAACTTCTTGTGTCCACTAGAAATGCATTAAATCTAAAAAATTATTTGATCTGAAACTGTATTTAGACATTGTGAAAATAGGGTGGAAAATGGGTTTTATCTGTGTTTGATTCTACAGTTTGTAAAAGCAAACTGGCAAAAAAAACCCTGAATGAGACATCCTAGAGTAGGAAAAGCAAGCTCTGACACGGAAACAAACTGTTCTAATTTTCTTTAAAAGCTGCGGTATTTAAGCATTCATTATAGGCACAGACAAAAAAACCCCAAAACTACTGGTTGAAGTATTTTAGAGTGAAAAATAAAATTCCAGTAAAATAAAATTCCAGTTTGCCAGAGAGTTCAGGGACATTCAAAAACCTTTGCTTAATACAATACATTGCAGAAGCTGAGAAACAGAAAGATGGCTTAGTTAAAATGGAATTTACTATGCAAGATGCTTAGAAAGTATTTTCTTGATAGGAAAAACTTACTATTTCAACTGGAGCAATACTTCTTACGAGCTGCTGGAGCAAGGTAGCTTCACAGTAAGGAAATTTTCGGATACTTTCTCGAATTAGCTTCTCTTGATATACAGGGAAACCATCTTTATCTCTCCCTTTCAAGAGACTAAATTTTTTAAAACCAAAGTCAAATAAGAAATCACATAGTAAATATTCAAGCACAAATACACAGCATGCTGTACTCAGTCCTCCTGATTATGTCCTCTTTCAAATTATAGACAATTATAATTCCAAATAATTTGGTAACTTCCAATGCATCAGTGTTTAAAATGCAAATTAAACTATTTTTATTCTAATACACAATTACTGTGAAATATAAAGTAACTAAATGTATGCTCTGAGACCACAATGCTCTAATTCAGCCACGCAGACAAAAATAATCCTCTACAGGTAGGCTAGTATCTACATCAGATTGAAGTACTAAAATGCTTTGTTGGGATTAAAAAAGAGCATTGTAAAAATAAACACTAAAGAACACACAATACCTTAAAATACAAATTCTGCTTATGTTTAATAACAAGTTATAGTCCTGATTCTTCTATCTTTATCTGGTTAGCTCCTACTTTTCTCTATGGATCACTGATGAAATATTTGATTTCAGTATGTGAAAGCTGACTTGATAACTTATTTTCAATTTCATGTAGAAATCCATGGAAGTCTATGGGTAATGTGATACTTCTCAAAGCTGAGCCATTCACTGTGATACTTAAGAGTAGGCAGCTGGTTTTGTAACTCTGAGTAGGTTCTGAAGATCTGTCTAAGTGATCTAAGAGTCCAAGTCTCAGCCACAGCCGGTGGGACTTGCAGTTCTTGGTTGCTTAAGTGTTTTTGAAAATAAAATCTCACCCTGAATGACTGCTGGAAAGCAAAATGGCAAAAGAAATGTTCCCAGATGATCCATATCGCAGATTGAGAAATTATTTTTTCAAGCCTATCAGTCCCCTTTTTTCTCCAGCACATGTTGCTCTCTGCTGCTCCATAGTGTACGTCTGATTGCCAAGCTCTAACCAGTTCCAGCAGGGAACTGAAGCTCTAGGAACGTTTCCTTTGTACCCCAGGAAAGAGGGAGTCAGTGCCATGCTGAAGTGACTGCAACTGCGATTATGTCTAAATTTACTTGGCATAGCCTTTATCCAAGATAATTCAGTCTATTACAGTTGTCGTTTTCTGATATCTGTAAAGCTGCTCCATACCTATGCCTTCAGACCTCTCCAGAAATACATACCTTTTGATAAATCCATCTAGTTTATCCTCTCGCTCTTTTAAGAACGTAATACATTTCTGGAAGATGCAACTGATGTAGTGCATTTTCATAGCAAGTACTTCATTCATATCTTTCTGCTTCATACATTTCTCACAAATTAGATCCAGAACCCTGTAGCATTTCTGCAGAGCTTCTACTTCGGCCAATAGAGGGTTCTCTTTTACCAGCAACACAATCTAAAGGAAAGATTGCAGAAAATGCAATCCAATTAGGAACTAATATTTTTAAACTTGTGCATTAGCATTAAAGTTTATATAGGTCATTGTAGCTAAATTTCAGCGGAGTTTCTAATATTCCTCTGCTTCCATCTTATGCAGGCTTCCCCATCTTTTTTTCAGTCATTATTAAAGTATTACTATCCAGTATCCTGTAGTTCACAGTTCCCATAAAAGACATATTCAAAATTAAGACTGATATTAAAATCAATAAGGATTTTTTTCCAGAGTAAGAACCTGAAGAATCAAAACCATTTCAAAAGAAACAGTTACAGAAACTACCATACACTGGCCTAAAATGTCTTTCTTTTTTAACCCCTAAAAAACCCTGGACTTGTATGGTTTAAGCAGTTTCATAGAACACATCAACCTCACATAACCTCGGAGTACTTCAGGTAGACTAGTAAAGCACTGAACCAACCATTACAGGAGGACATTGTATACTCTACTCACTGAATTAGCTGCCAGTGGCGCATTACTGTTTGTATCTACTGCAGATACCTGCTTGTCTTTTAATTTAGGTGTATTAGTCTCTCTGAACTACACTGGAAGAGCAAACCATAAAAGACGTTATTTTCAGCCAATATACTGGGAAGTAAAAATAAACATCTCTTGCCCATATTTTCAGACACAACAGCAGCAGTAGGTGTTACTGTGGCGAACTAGTGAGGAAGGCAGGTAGACACATGCTGAGACAGACATTGAGAGAACAATGAGATTTTGTTAGGATAGGAAATTGGTTTATGTTTCCACTTCAAGTGGGGCTAGGGAAAAAAAAAGCCAAAAAGAAAGCTATTTATGGTTATTGATACAAAAAATAAGAAGCTCTCCACTTAAAGGTGTTAGTTCAAGATTCTGGTGTATATAAACACTGAAATAGCTTCATTTTTGTGTCATGTCTAAATTTTGAGCCTGATTCTTTCCCATTTTCAGAAGCATCTGAGTTAATGGATAATGCTTTTGATCTCAATTCTACTCTGAAGAGTTGAATGCTTTCTGACAAAGAAACAGTTCCCATGCCAACAAACTGATACAATTAACATATTACTCCACCTTAACAGGATGCATATTAGTAGTGGTAATAATTTTATGTAGAGGCCCAGCTAATTTTACTGGCAGTTTTGGTTCTTTATCTAAGCCTTGTGGTTTAGTGTAGTAGTCCAGCCTTTCACGTGGAAAGAAGTTGTTGATGACAGTCACACAGTCATGTTGACCTAGAGGCACACAAGAAAAAAAAATCACCAATAAAATTAAATAATAACCCAAAAAAGGACCTAAAACCATATCCAATATAAGCAATATGGGTGAGCATTACCCACACGGAAGCTTAGCATGAGGTGCTTTGCACTGGTAACCCACATCTCTTGCCATTCTTTTACATTCAGTAAGTGTAACTTTGACATTCAGTAAGCGTAGGTTACTGACTCCCAGCAGGGAATGACTTCTTGAAATTTCATTTTGAGAAGTCTCTCCCTTTTCCACATCCTCTTTCCTCAGTAAGCCACAACTACAGAATGGGTATTTCTCCCTAGAGTTACACTAAACATAGTGTCACGTTGGTGTTAAAATTTCTCAAGAAAAGTTCTCTCCACTTTGTACTTTCAAAAATTAATGACATTTGCATTGGGACTTGTAAGTTTTCAGACCTGAAACAGATAGTACTATATTAACCTAAAGCAGCAGCAATTATAAGAACAGAACATGCTTAAAATTTACCAAAAAAAGGACTGTGATGAAAGTAACAAGATGAGAAAAGTTACACCCCCTTCTTGTTTTCTACATCTGACAACATGATGGATTACTTGGCTAAAGGGAAAGTAAAACTTGGCTTCTCTAGTTCAGGACCACATTCTTTAAATTGATTGATTTATCTTGGCACTAATCCTATTAATCAGTAGAAGACACAGCCAACCAAGTTCCAGCATTTAAAATCCTCCGCTGTTTTAGAAGAAACTGTTCTAAGCTAATAGAGCACAGAGTAAGACAAATAACAGGGGAAGAAGTATCCTCACTTCCCACACATAGACAGATCAGTTAATGTTGATTGGACAGAGAATAAAAAAAGAACAGGAATAGAGTCCAATGTTCAGACTTTGTAGTTACAGAGTAGCATTATCTCAGTATGCCTGAAAAATATTTATTGTGTCTTGGTGACATGATGAGATTTTAAACAGTTCTTCAAAGTTGGAGATAACATTCTCCATTTGCTATTAATTCAGCATCACATTGGAAAAGACTCTCCAAACCCGAAGTAGAATTAATAGGAATGAACTTCTCTGACATATTAAGTGAATAGTTAAGGCTTTGCTGCTTGAACCTTGAGTGACCAATGTCAATCTTTTCCTCTTTAAAAGACCTGAATGAGGTATAATTGAAATTGAAACTGCACTAACTCATTGTTCAAGGAAGTAAATCTAAATGGGAAGGTAGGGTCTTGAATGCAGAACACCTAATGGACTTGCAAGAGAGTTCTCAGACACTTCAACAATATGAGAAGTTTGTGCTGAAGTGAAAACACAGGTCCTTGCTTTTGCTTGTTGGGAAGGTCATCTGGACAGCAACAGCTGATTCATTAAAATGACTCCACTTTTTCTGGTAGTATTTTATCACAGGTCCTTGCTAGAATTAGAGAAAAAGTGGTATATTTGGGAACATTAATCCAGGATTCTCCCAGCACAGTCAAGATGGGTAAAAAAGGAAAAAGGGGGAGGAAAAAAAAAAAAAGAGACAAGAAAAAGAAACATAACAGAAAAACCAGCCTGGTTCCATGTTTTGCCCAGGATCACACAGCACACTGGAATGACAAATCTCTTACCTTGTTCTGGTCCAGTTCAGGTCAGTAAGTACTGACTACCTCAGAGCAGGTTCCAAGACTTCTTCCTCTCCCAAAGGCAGAGGGAGAAGAGCAGGAGGTGACTCATCGATAGCACACAGCATGCTCATGGCAAAGCTCGGATGAGAGTTCCTGACTCCTAGCGCTGTGTTCATTGCTTCCCACAGAGTAAGCTCCAATTATGCACTTTGTACTGCAGAAGCACATACCTGCACTTCATACAGTGTTGAGTTCTGACAACTCAAATGTCAGAAGCTTCCTCTTACTTTTTTGAAAAGTGATGACACTTCAAAGCCTTGCACACCTGGAGAGCAGCAGCATCTCTCCCGTCAGATAAGATCATTTGTGTTTTTATGAAACAAAGCATGGGAACAGAACACAAACTGACTCTGTTATGGGATGAGATGTGGAAAGAAAGCTGAAGAGCTGCATCAGTTCATAACAGGTCATTAAATAACGTTTACTGGATAACAAATACCAGAATCAAACATTTTACTTCTTTAGGAAATGATAATAGACTTTCACCTTACCCACAAAAGCAGCCATCTGAGCTGCTGTCCTTCCCACAGAGTTGACAACATCAGTCTCTGCTCCAGCCTCTAGCATCATCCAGGTGATTTCTTTGTTTCCTGAATTTGAGGGGAAGACATGGGGAATGAGAGAGAACACACCAAACCTTGTAATTCTTTATGTTGTGGAAAAACAAGGGGTAAATTTCGTAGAGACCAGGAATAACACTGTGGGAAATAAATGTTCTTAGTGTCATTACTTCAAGTGTGGATAAACAGAAAGGCACGGTGCTGCCTACTTATTTATGGTTTCAGAGGGTCAAAGTAAAAACTAAATTCAAGCAGGGTATAACTCTGCTCTCTGTAATGCACATTCTAGCTTATGGGAGTTGTATGCATGTAACTACACTAGAGCTTGGTCCCTTTGGATAGCAGTATAGAAGCAAATGCTACTAATCTAGTTTGACAGTTCAACTACAACATTTGCTATTCTAAGAAGAAAAACAAATCCAGCACTATTATGTAGCTGGAGCACAGAGAAGAGAACAGATTGTTCCTTTCTCCACAGCGGGAACTGGGTGTTCAGACTGGGCTAAACACCAAGTAAAATGAAGCTAAAATTTGATGGGAAGATTAGATGACTTAATTGGTGCCCTTCAGAGCCTAATAAGGACACTTGTCACCACTCGTGCTGGTTCTGCTTTCAAAGGTACTCTTACTTTATCAGGATTTGTGCATATACTAAGTACAGAAAAGCGAATATAAAAAAAGAAAGGGATGGGAAATGAATGCTTCTGATTTAAAAACAAAGGCATTGCATCAGTAGTGCACATGTACCTTTTGCACTTACAGAAAATAGACCTTAAAGTCAATGTTTAAAAGCATTCAAACAGAGGATGGTTGTTATCTGCAGTTAAAAGCTCAGCTGTAAGAAGATGGTAAAATTCCAGCATTTCCCATAAAGCTGAAGTCATTTAAGAACCTCTGTGAGTTTGTTCCCATCTATCAGCTGCAGCTCTGATACCGCTCAATGCCACAGAACACCAAAATTTCCCAGAACTTTTTACCAAAGTTTTAGCAGAAAAGCAATCTGATGATCTAGTTAAGGTTCATTTACACACATGTACCTTTCTTCTTTATGCTTAAGACAAAAGAAGGCAGAGTTTAAACTCTACCTGCTAAGAAATTTTACTTCCCTAGAATCTCCTTTCTGGGACAATGTAAATGGCCTAGTAAGGAAGATACTTAAAATAACCCAATATTCCCGAATCCAGTCTTTTCTCCAGAAGAGAACTTTTCTGGTTTTTTTATGAAATGTCTTTTTCTCAAAGAAAAAATTGTTTCTTTCACCAGAGAAAAAAAAATAGCAAGAGGAAAGCCACTTGAGACAGAAGATATATACAGCTACAAGCACTCTCATGAAAAAAAAATCATGTAAGAGCAGAGGGAAAATTAATGTGAGGAAACATGTTTTTAAAACTTACCAAATACATTTTTAAAAGCTGACAAGATTAATTGCAAAAATAACGTAGGAAAAAGGCAAAATTTGAAAAATACTGGATTGATTTGACAAGCCTTAAATGTTACTAAAAAGCTACTGATTTGGAGCCCTAAAAAGGCAGTTTGGTGCAGCACCTTTTTCAGTGTAACACAGTGTAATTAAACAGAACGTATCCCAATGCACAACAAAACTGTCACGGGAGACTAAATTCTGAGATCTGTAACAAACAGGACAAAGTACAGATAGACTCCCATATGCCTCAAAATGCTGATCAAAATCAATTTTTATATGAAAAAGCTCCCAAGCCTGAACAGTAGCTATCATGTTCCACTGTCCTGATGATTCTACTGGTCTTGACATACTTGCATGGTGCACGTAAGTAATGGTAAACCTGGATAATAAAAACATGTCAACATTTTCCTTTAAATTATTAATTTATGGTGAATTGTACCCATCAATGTAATGAAAATCAGTGAGCTAAGTTCAGTAAGAAGTTACCTGAAAGTCCAGCAAACATCAAGGCAGTATATCCATGCTCATGTTCATTGCAGTTAACATCAGCTCCATGTCGCAAGAGCAACCTGCACATGTCTACCTTCCCCTTGTAGGCTGCATGCATTAGAGGGGTCATGCCATGCTAGCAGAAGAAAGACGAAGGAAGTAGCATACAAAAAAGAAATAGTTATATCTCTTGATCTTAATACCTTTGATAATTTTTACTTGTACATACATATTCAGTATAGCTACCAAAGCCTCACATAATATCTAAGTTAGCAACAACACAAAAGCTCACAAAATCATCATAAGAATATATGGTTACTAACATGCAGTACATTGTCCATTTCCCATGTTACTTTTCTGGTTATGCTGTGCTCTACATTTGAAAACAGACCAGTGCTGAATAAATGAACACTAGTTACTGCAAATTTGTCATTGGCCTTTTGTATAAGACTAAATACAATTAATTCTTCTGCTGGGGGAAAAGCTTGTTTTAGAAAATTTGCTAGGTTCCCAAGTTATTTCTATTTCCACCTGCATGATAAGATAAGCAACAAGAAAACTAGGAACAGGCTCACGTTGTTTCTGTGATTACAAAGATTTGCAGTTTCTGAAGCACATCATGCTCGTTTTTAGCCATGACTACTGGTAATTTTGCTGCCTTCCTCTCTCCCATTTATGCACCCTTTTGATATTGTGTCTGTGATCTTGCATCAGCCAGAGCTCTGAAAGCCCTTGTAAAGACACACAGCTCTAACAAGACTTCAAGCCTCGCCTTTTGATAAACTGCACCAGCACAAAAAGGATTCGCTTCAGCAAGAGAGGCACCAAGTTTTCATTAGAGTTGCACTGGTGTCATTATAAATACAAACTGGGCAAAACCTAGAGGAGATTTTCAGAACGAAGGTGAATTGTTAGTGCAGGCTCTCGCCCCCTCAAAGGGCAAGGAAAAGTACATTTCTGTTCGAGAAAATTGCATGACATTCTGTTTTTAGCATTTGATGCACTTTTTCCAATATGCTGTTTATGTTCACTTGACATCAAGTCAGGATTCATGTTATCAGCCAAGACATAGTAATTGCCCAAGAATATCCTCCAGCACTGAATACAAGGGAATGTGTTTTAGTTTGTCCCTGAAGGAAATCAAAATGGCATTTTCTTCCCTTTTTTGCAGGTTAGGGCTGTGTGCATGAAGACACTCATGTCCACCATTACTGCAGCTCTGTACACACATGGTGATGTGATACGCTGAAACAAGCCAATTGTCAGTTTGAGCCTTAAAGTATTTTTGTTTCAATGTACAATAGAATAGTATTTTCACTAATCCCCATCCTAACTGAAAAGAATAAAAAATTATTACTAAATGCATTGTATTTTAGTAACCCAAAATATTTTTGTAAACTGCAGTATAAACTGCCATTAAAGAAACAAAAGACCTGAAGAGATCACTTCACAAACATGAAACAAGTTTGTGAGTCATACAGAACTACAAGAAAATCTAGCAAAATATGTAAGAATTACTAACTTAATACATAAAAGTCTATTTCTCTTCTATTCTCTTCTACGCCATTTTTACGGGCAAATCCCAGTCTGGAGTCATAGTATAGATTCACCTCCTTTAGCAGCGCAGAAAAGTACTGCTATAAGGAGATATGAACACAGTAAAGTTTTTGACTGGAGAAGGAACTTTAAGAAAACAATGACTTTCAGTTCGGTTGTATCTTGAATGCCACTTGTTTCAATTAAAAATTATGTCTGAGGATTACAGGACAAAGGAAAGGGTGCGGTTTTTTATCATCCTCTCCTCCTGGGAAACTTTTTAAGTCTTTGATTAAATTTTGAAAGTGTCAGGCTGTGGTGTGGGTCAAAAAATGTATCAAGCAGAAAACATGTAGACAGTTGTTAGAAAATTTGATGTGAAGTCACACTAAGAGCAGCCTTTCACATTCACAGCAAACAGAAAAGGGACAGGCTAGATACAAGCTTATCTGAAAAAACTTGGTATCCTCTATTATGTCCCTATACTGAAACTGAATGCAAATACTCTTCTCAGGCTGAATAACAAAGACAGGTCCAGCAACAGGCTGTTTCCTGACAGATGATGTTTGGATTATCAATACAACAAATTCAAAATAATAAACCAGCAAACAGTTCATTAAGCATCCAGATGAAACCAATTATTTATTCCTCCAATATAGGATGAATAATCTGTTTTCTAGCTGCTACTGTGTAACATTCCTCTGCCCAATTATCCATTCTCTCAAACTCATTCCCTAGGACAAAAATGAATTTTCCCAGTTTCTCATTTACTTTGTAGGGATGTTACATGGGTTACAGGAAGCAAAATTAACATCTCCCATCTTCTGCAGAGCTGTATATCTGACTGTACAATAGGAATAGTTTGCAGTGCCTCTAGAAAACCAACCACATTGTGAGCATTTAAACACCCATGCTGACTGTGTATGAACACAGACATGATACATCTATACTTTAAAAAGCCACTGTTTTGTGGCTACTACACTGATGATTCGCTACTGAAGTTGCCACATAGGCTTGTGCTACTCAAGAGAAGAGAAAAAGCCAAGTGGTCCAAACGTTCCCAGTGTTTTACACTTCTCATGCTGACTTCACCCTTCTTCTCAGCCTCGGAAACCTGTCCAAGAAGTGGTAGACTTGGGCTGGATCACACTGGAGCTGCTCCCTCAGCAGGTATGCAGCTGTGCCACAGCATTGCATGTGGACATACTAGCTACCTACCTAGAGTTCAAGTCAGAGGTGAGTTGGGTGAGAAGACTGTAAGACTGTACTGGGGCCAGTATTATTCAATATATT